CAGGCGGGCGTCTGATCGCGGGAGTGCTAGTATCCCGTGGCAGCCGGCGCCCATCCATGTCCCATCACAAACCAATGTTTTTCATAAGCGCATGCGCACAAACACAAAACTGAAAGCAGTGCTGCTCCACGGAACTGCACATGCGCACAAATGCAAAATGCTTGTGTGATCATGCCGCACCACTTCTTTGCCATGCTGCAGCATCGCCATGTGATCGCCAGCTAACAGCCAAAGCGCAGAGACTCGAGGGACTGTGTGACCGGGCTACCGCGCCTTATTTTGCTCTGGGGTGAACAGCCACGCCTCCCCCCCCCGTGTTATCTGGCCCGTGTGACCGGGGCCACAGTTAGCCGTTAGTGAGGGAGGTCAGAGGTTCCAACAGATCAGCAAATGGCTGAAGTGAAAATGAACTGGTCTTGATACGGGATTACAGTCTGATAAAACATGCTGAGATCAGCCAACTGACATTTTTGAAAAGTGTAGAGCTATTAGAGACTGTAGTGACGGAGGAAATCCAAGTCTCCATTTAAAGCCAGGATGACAAGTACTGTTTAATTTTTGAGGAGTTCTAGTGTTATCGATGCAACAAACATGAAATTGAGCAAACTCCGGAGGATGGTGGAGGACAGGAGGGCCTGGCGTGATCTGGTCCATGGGGTTGCAAAGAGTCGAACTCGACTGTGCGACTGAACAACAACAACAAAACTCAGGAACAGCCCCTGAAGTTGGAGGAACCCTTCCAACCCAGCAGAGTGGCAAAAGGGAGGGGGCAGGATCTACCCCAAGGCCTGATGCTGAACCAAGTTTGCTTCAGTTAGGGGAGAGAGGTTGGTAAGCAAGAGTATCCCCCAGTTTCTGACACTGCAATCGCCTGACTATGGGAAAGGAAACTACAGACTGGAACTTTTCTGGGGGAAATGCTGAACTTTGAAATAGTTACTGGGGGGAAATTAAGACTGTAGCAAAAGACGCTTCTCTCACTTATTGAACTGAGTGATAACAAAGATTGGATGCAGAACGCACGACACAGATGTTGCTTGCTCAAGAGTACTTGCTAATCTCTGTTCCCAGAACTGATTGCTTCCCACAAACTCATGTGTGCCATTTTAATATACGTAAGTTGGCTCAGGATTGCATACTAAAATCACAAAGCAAGATATAAATGCATTGCGTTCCACCATGAATTTAGCCCCTGGAAGAAATCTGACCAAATTTTAATCAGCTCCATCTGAAGTCTAATGATGTTAATTTGTGTACATGTTCTCTGCGAGGAGGGGAAAGTTATGCTCTGAGCCGGAAGGTCTTGGACTTTAAAACACAAAAGGGAACCCGCATTCTTCCTGGTAAGAACAAAGTTCAATGAACAATTTTCGCACAGGTCACTTTATAGTTTAACTAGCAGTAAAGCCCGTTGTGGAAATAAATACAACGAGATCTAGAAAGAGGCTCTGGGGGAGTGCTCTGGCTTTGGGCAAACAGTGTCATTTTGCTGTGGTGACCTCAGCAGGCGGGGAGGGGGTGAGTTTGAGGTGTGGAATGCAGTGAAGTCCAATCAGCTTCCATATGCAAAAGACCTTGAAGGTTCCATATGCAACTGACATTCCAACTGCCTTGCGGGGAGGGGGTGAGTTTGAGGTGTGGAATGCAGTGAAGTCCAATCAGCTTCCATATGCAAAAGACCTTGAAGGTTCCATATGCAACTGACATTCCAACTGCCTTGCGGGGAGGGGGTGAGTTTGAGGTGTGGAATGCAGTGAAGTCCAATCAGCTTCCATATGCAAAAGACCTTGAAGGTTCCATATGCAACTGACATTCCAACTGCCTTGCGGGGAGGGGGTGAGTTTGAGGTGTGGAATGCAGTGAAGTCCAATCAGCTTCCATATGCAAAAGACCTTGAAGGTTCCATATGCAACTGACATTCCAACTGCCTTGCGGGGAGGGGGTGAGTTTGAGGTGTGGAATGCAGTGAAGTCCAATCAGCTTCCATATGCAAAAGACCTTGAAGGTTCCATATGCAACTGACATTCCAACTGCCTTGCGGGGAGGGGGTGAGTTTGAGGTGTGGAATGCAGTGAAGTCCAATCAGCTTCCATATGCAAAAGACCTTGAAGGTTCCATATGCAACTGACATTCCAACTGCCTTGCGGGGAGGGGGTGAGTTTGAGGTGTGGAATGCAGTGAAGTCCAATCAGCTTCCATATGCAAAAGACCTTGAAGGTTCCATATGCAACTGACATTCCAACTGCCTTGCGGGGAGGGGGTGAGTTTGAGGTGTGGAATGCAGTGAAGTCCAATCAGCTTCCATATGCAAAAGACCTTGAAGGTTCCATATGCAACTGACATTCCAACTGCCTTGCGGGGAGGGGGTGAGTTTGAGGTGTGGAATGCAGTGAAGTCCAATCAGCTTCCATATGCAAAAGACCTTGAAGGTTCCATATGCAACTGACATTCCAACTGCCTTGCGGGGAGGGGGTGAGTTTGAGGTGTGGAATGCAGTGAAGTCCAATCAGCTTCCATATGCAAAAGACCTTGAAGGTTCCATATGCAACTGACATTCCAACTGCCTTGCGGGGAGGGGGTGAGTTTGAGGTGTGGAATGCAGTGAAGTCCAATCAGCTTCCATATGCAAAAGACCTTGAAGGTTCCATATGCAACTGACATTCCAACTGCCTTGCGGGGAGGGGGTGAGTTTGAGGTGTGGAATGCAGTGAAGTCCAATCAGCTTCCATATGCAAAAGACCTTGAAGGTTCCATATGCAACTGACATTCCAACTGCCTTGCGGGGAGGGGGTGAGTTTGAGGTGTGGAATGCAGTGAAGTCCAATCAGCTTCCATATGCAAAAGACCTTGAAGGTTCCATATGCAACTGACATTCCAACTGCCTTGCGGGGAGGGGGTGAGTTTGAGGTGTGGAATGCAGTGAAGTCCAATCAGCTTCCATATGCAAAAGACCTTGAAGGTTCCATATGCAACTGACATTCCAACTGCCTTGCGGGGAGGGGGGGGGGTTTGAGGTGTGGAATGCAGTGAAGTCCAATCAGCTTCCATATGCAAAAGACCTTGAAACGCTGGGCGGGACTGCACAAAGCAGCCAGTCAACCCAGCCAGTGTCTTCTGAGTGGCAGTTCTTCCGGCCTAACACTGAAGGCGGGCATTTTAGAATGTTCATATAAAATGTTCTTACTCAATTATATATAAGGAGAGATTTTGTGGCAAGTGATATCTTTAAGACGAATAGGAATTTTTGGTGGCATCTTTAAAACTAGGAGTTTTACTAGACAAAGTTGGCTCTGGTCCCCAGAAATATATTCTACAAAATAAAATTGCTAGCTTGTTGGCATTAGATGCAACTGACTAGACATGGCTGCCACTCTAGAATCTTTGCAAGGCAAAGTGATTTCTGAAATGGCAGTTCTTACCTTGTGGCCAACTCCACACTGCTCGCCGCGTTGTTTTGATTTGAAGGTGGATTTTGGAATGGACGGAATGTCAGACCTGCGCACACAACCGGCTGTGGGCAAGAACTCTGTTCTCATCCCCCACCCCCACCCCAGTAGCTTACGATTGAAAGTGCATTCTGCCACAAGCTATGGCTGGGCTCACTGTGACGTCAAGCAAAGGACATCAAGCCCAGAAGAAAAGCCACTCCAAGCTCCATCCCTGCTTTCCACAGTGACTTGAGAGCCAGGCTGACTTTGGGCTTCTCCAGCAGCTCTCCCCAAAATGGTCATTCCCGGCTCTTGCCGAGATGGACTGCAGTGCGGCTTACCTCAGATGGAACCAAGGTATTGCTGCAACATTCATCACAGAGATGCTGTGGGGGAAGGCCAATTAAACCACGGTCTGGATTATCTCTTTTGCTTCCTCACCTCCTTTTTGAAGTTTCTTCTTTTGTAACATCTTGCCTGAGGAAGAGTTCTGGCAACCTCAAAACTCTTTGGAACTCTTTGAGGAAATTGCTCGCAATTTTAGACCCTTCTTCTCTGGTGATAGACTTCTAAAATTCAAAACCCATCCTTCTGTAGGCTGGTTTGACCAGGAGTGTAGAGCAGTTAGGAAAGAGCTTGTTCATTGTGCACGACAGGCGTGGAACCACGAAAATGAGCCCTCCTTACCAAGGCTCCCTTATGAGCAAAAATTCTACTTTGTGAGCTACTGGCATTAAAGTTGTGAGCAAAGAATTTGGCTGCTGCAGAAATTAGTTTGCTCTGGAGCCCCTCCTTCCTGAGCGAAGACAAAAACGTGTGAGCCGGAGGCTAGAACATTGTGAGCTAACTCACACTAACTCAGCTTAGAGGGAACACTGCTCCTTACTGTTCTTACATCTCTTAGGCCACCTTATAAGCAGCTCCTAAAACTCCTTATCTAATGACGATCATTGTGTCACCTATACGATGTCCGTGCATGCATGGTCTGCCAAGAAGATCCGTGCAAAATTTTCGCTCCAGTGTTCAATGTGTTATATTCTTCACTACGTCCCAGTCCTGACAATTTAAATGCTGCTTTTAACCTTGCTTTTTTTTACTGTAATATTTATTACTGTTCGGGCAGCTGTTATTATATCGTTATGGCTTTTGGCCTCATGCCATGGAATTCTACCTACCCCAAAAGACTTTTGTGTCACTGTAGCTGGTCCCACTAAAGGTGTTACGTGGTTCGTGGCTTGCTGCAGTTAGTATGACAAAGACTTAGATTCTGCTCCTCTGTTTAAAAAGGCAAAGCAGAAAACCAGCTCCATTCAGGAAAGAGCGGCCGCATTGCAAATTCCACACCTTCCCAGCTACCCTTTTAACCTGCCTAACTTCCAACAACTACCGTAGCTACCCTGAAGTACCCAAACTGAATCCATGGCATATTAAAGAAAGAAAAAGTCATCCAGGCCCATGCAGGTGTACAGCTGAGATTCCCGCTCTCCCATCCGCTGAGGAGACAAGACATGGCAGACAGAACTGGAATGAGTCTCTCGGTTACTAAATCCCGCGTCAGCCTCCGACTCTGACCTCTCTCTTGACTTCCTCTTCGTCCTCCAGGGTGAGCGCCGCCAACTGGTTTGCTCTCTGCTCCATTAAGTTCACGTATCTGATGGGGTTGGACAACGCTTCGATCACATCTGGAAATCAAGCCGGAATGGAGAGTCAGGCCGGCACCTGCGGGCGGGTTCACGCAGACGTGCAAAGGGGTGGGGGCTGCCGTCACCCTCTTCAGGGGCCTATCCAGAATTTTCACGTAGCCCTTCATGGCGGGAAATGCCCCTCGGAGCCCTCATGGGACACCGCCCAATCCCTTTGCCCGTTTAAATGTCTCCTCAACCCCCACAAATTTACAGAAATCCTTTTTGCTCATACATAAAACACAGGCATGCTTTATTGACCTACGCGGTCTCTGACAGGGAGCACAGCCACACGCACACAGCTGCCCTGACCCGGATGCCCCCCAGGCAAGTCAGATCTCGCCCGGTCTCAGAAGCTGAGCAGGTTCAGCCCTGGCTAGTACTTGGATGGGAGACCCCCCCCCCAAGCAAGTCTGGGGTCGCGACGCAGAGGCAGGCCAGGGCAAACCACCTCTGAATGCCCTTTGCCTTGAAAGCCCCGTGCGGGGTCGCCATACAACTCTGACGGCACTTTCCACCACCATGTGCAACTGAATACACACTCTTCCCCAATTGTATACGGTAAGTTCCTTGGGGCAAGGAGACATTGTTTTGGTTCTTACTCTACAAAGGAGGAGGAGGAGGAGGAGGAAGTTGGAGATTGGAGGAGACTCAGAGTCTCAGAGCGGCTTACAGACTCCTTTCCCTCCCCCTCCCCACAACAGACACCCCCTGGGAGGTGGGTGGGGCTGAGAGAGCTCTTGACAGAAACGGCTCTTTTTCAAGGACAGCTCTTGTCAGAACTACGGCTTGCCCAAGGTCATCCAGCCAGGTGCAAGTGGAGGAGGAGAGGGGAATCAAACCTGGTTCTCCCAGATTAGAGTCCGCCTGCACTTAACCATGACACCAAACTGGCTCCATCACAAAAAAGCTTGTCACATCTGCTGCAATCAGATGCCAGAGCAAACCGAGGCCTGTTTTGATCAGGCATGATCATTGCGTGTCCGCTGCACCCTCTCACTCAGCACGTCACCTTGCACAAAGAGCCTGATGGAAAATTTCCAGTTGGACCAAGCTCCAACTCCCTGCGATGCCAAAGTGCCCTTGGCAAACTGGCGTTTGTCCGTTTCTCACAAACTAGGATGCATCACTGGGATTCCACGGAGATTTACAGCCCACGTTTGTGGGGAGAAAACAAACTCCAGTTAATCCAGGCCTTCCGAACTGGCCCTTGATCAGTCCGGAGCTGAGGAGGAGGGGAGGGGAGGGATGGGAGGGGCACTGCTGACCGGCACAGGCCAGCCTCTGCAGTGACGCCTGAAGGAAGCCGCACTTCTCTGAACAACGACAATTTCCCTCAGATTGTGCAAGGCCGGTGCTTAGAGGGGAGTTCTGACCACTGCTTCACATGTGGACAATGACTTATTGCAGGCAATCACACTGAAGGTATCTGTAGCTTTTGTTAGATACAGTTAAGAGTGGAACGTGTGACTGAATCAGGGTGGGGAAAACGGTTTGATGAACTCCCACACACACACACACCACGGCAGGGAGCACAGAGGCTTGCTCTGGTGCAGGTAAACAGAAGGAGGAGGAGGAGGAGGAGGAGGAGGAGGAGGAGCCAAACTACACTACATATATGATAGTCCTTCACGTTCTTAATTCCCGCTGTGTGCCATTTCAGAGAATAACAGCAGCTCCCCAGAAGAAGTGCTTCCTGCAATGACACTTGACGTTTGTCGTCAAGGCGGGTTCTCCTGTTACCTGCATAAGTGTCGGGCACGTAGTCCTTCACCTCTAGGTAGACGAACAGGGCCGGCAGCGTCAGGGACAGGTTCCTCTCGTTCCTCAGGGAGATGTAGTGGTAGCCTGGAACAGAAGGAGGACAACCGTGGAGAGCGCATCTACGGCTGATGTCCTAACGGGACGCACACAATGGCTGAGCAGTCACACAGAGAGACGCGGGGTCCCTTCACCGGCACTCAGGGATATGCCGTGAGCTCAGAGACGACGTCCTTTCTCGGGGGACGAGAGCGCAAACCTCTCAGACGGGAGGCCTGGAGGGGATGAGGTTCCTCTACAGAGACAGATGGGGTGGTGGCCAAGGCTCCCTCTCAGCCGTGGGGGCTTGTGAGCAAAAAATTCTACTTTGTGAGCTGCCGGCATTCAAGTTGTGAGCCAGCGATTTGGCCGCTGCACAAATTAGTTTGCTCTGGAGCCCCATCCTTCCTGAGCGGAGACACATATGTGTGAGCCGGAGGCTAAGAAACTGTGAGCTGGCTCACACGGACTCAGCTTAGAGGGAACACTGGTGGTGGTGGTGGTGCAGAATGGCTATTTGCCAGGAACGGGGCAAGGCAGTCCTACCGCCCTGAGAGGCGTCTGGGGAGGGCCACGTGCGCAGACCCAGGAGAGAGAAGGGCCGCCTGCTACCTGAAGGAGGAAGGGGCCACCGAGGAGCCCAAGAGTTGCAAAGACTTCAGCCTTTAAGGTCCAGGCAGACCTGGACAGCTCCGGGCAGCAGGGTTGGCCCTGGTGAGTGCTCGGAGGGGAGACCTCCAAGGAAGCCAAAGGGTTGCTACGCAGAGGCAGGCGGTGGCCCAAACCCACCTCTGGACGTCTCCCGCCCTGACCCCCAGGATCCAGGCTGGCCCAGTCTCATTGGATCTCAGGAACGGAGCAGGGCTGGCCCCGGTTAGTGCTTGCTGGGGGAGGGGGCCCCTCCAAGGAACAGCAGGGCCATCGTGACGCAGGGGCAGGCAAGGGCAAGCCCACCTCTGAGCATCCCTCGCCTCGAAAGCCCCATGAGGGATCACAAGATGGCAGCTGTAACTTGGTGGCAAATACGAATAAAATGATACACATAAAACCATCATCTGTATATCTCTGGCTAGCTGTTAAGATGAGCCGGGGGGCTGAATTCAGTATCCCACGGATACGGGGTAGGTCAGACGTGACAAGCCAGCCAGTCACTCCCCCGATGGCTGGAGGCCAGCGCACCATCGGAGCCCTCTACAGCTTTTAGCAAGCCCTGACTTCCCCTCTTCTTTTACACTGAGCCGCTTAGACCATCCTGGCCTTGCGGAATACAGTGGCAGTGAAAAATACGAACCCACGAGGGCCACTGTTTGTCTTTCAGGCAGCCAAAGGGCAGCTACCAGGAATCCCTCCCGCAGCCCTCTCAGGGTGTGTGGTGGCCTACGCTCCGAGAGCTCGGTTCCAGAACTCACACCTGTGAGGCACGGAAGACGTTTTCGGGCACAGCGTGCCGTCGTATTTTTTGGAATCTCTGAAGCGCACCACTAGCTGTCATTGCAAATGGGAAGAATGTCGTGGGAATCTAGTTGAGAGAGTTATTGAAAGCCAGGCGCTGTGCCAATTTCCCTACAATAATTATGCCTAGAGGAGGGGAGGTGGCCTGGCATAGCCCCACTGCATCAGGACTCGAAAGCAAGGCAGGGTTGGTCCTTCGAAGGGAGACTCAAGGACAACGGCTCTGTGGCGACGGCAGGCCATGGCCAACCACCTCTGCCTCCCGCTTGCCTCAAGAAAGCCCTCGTTGGGGTCGCTGTACGTCAGCTGCAACTAGACGCCTCTTCACACACACACACACACACACACACACAGAGTTACGGACACAATTCCCCAGCAGCCCCTGTCTGTTAAAATCCATTGGGAAAGAAGGTTATCTGTGAAGAGATGGGACTACAGGCACGGCAAGGACGACAGAGGCCTTTAGGGACGTCTTCTGCACACATTCGGTTCTCCAGATTCAGCTGCTCGGTGAGCCCTGGCCTACTCGATCCCTCAGACTGGGCACAGTTTATAGCATCTAAGGTACGCAGGGAGCCCCTCTTTGCTCCGGTGTCCCGTTTGCTTTGCTCAGCGTTCCGAGGGCCAGTCTCGCTCCCAGGACGCCTAGACTACCTCACCTGGGCGAATCGCTGAAACCGGCAGTATCCGGTGGCCAATGAACTTCCCTCCTTCTTCATAGACGGCTATCCTGAGGCACGCCAGGGAAGGCAGAACCACCTGAAGGGGAGGCAGAACTCTGTTTAGCAGCAGGAACAAGAGAAGCACGTCAGCTAGCCCCTCACACACACACACACACACACACACCCCTTAACATCCACATGGATTCAGACTATGCTGGCTCAGCACCCACTTCTAGGCAGGTCTGTCCTCTTTCCATCTCTCCAGGTTGCTCGACAGTGGCTCTGCTCTAACACACAGCAGGGCGGTCCCAATCGAGGCCGGCGGGCAGCCCAAGTCTTTCTGGCTAACGCTGGCTCAGAGGACCACTTGCAAGACACCTCACAGCCAATCCTCCCTCTAAGCTGTGGAGAGTCCTGTGAGCACACATTCTACTCTGTGAGCTCTCCTGGGGCATTAAAGTTGTGAGCGAGCGATTTGGCTCCTGCATAAATCAGTGTGCTCTGGAGCCCTCCTCCCTGAAGTAAGACAAAAATGTGTGAGCCAGAGGCTAAAAAACTGTGAGCTAGCTCACACTGACTCAGCTCAGAGGGAACACTGACTGCACAGCCAACTGGCACAGAATCGGGAAAGGGGTGTGTGTGTGAAGAATAGGAAGGCACCAGTTCTGAATTCTCACGTCCACAGGCTTTTTGATATGACTCTTTGTGGGAAGGAAGGCTGGAGTCATTTTGGAGACTTCTAAGAAACTGGAGGTTAAAAAGCAAGGCCAATACTGATCAGCCGCTGATTAGCGACTGATGTTGCCCTCCTTTTGAAGAATTACTGCAAGACAAGCAGATTCCGCTGATGAAGCCTGTTGGCGAAACACACAGGGAATTTTTTTGGAAGTTTAACTGACGAATAAAATATAGGGTACCTGGTTTTGCACCATCGGCCTTATTATTATCTCCTGTGACTGATGTGGACTCCCCCCCCCCTGACTTTTAAGAAACTGACAATGGACAGAAGACAGGACGGTCCTGGAGATTTTAGTGTTCTGCTTCTTTTACGGAAGCTGCAGGGGATGTTGCTTTTCACATTTGCAAGTCAAACTCTGCTCGGGTGGGGAGCCCTCTTGGCCTGAAGCATCGGAACACAGTTCCAGTCCAGTGGCTGAAACACAACAAAGTTTCAGTCCTTTTAGACAAACAGAGTTTTATTCTGGGTATACGTTTCCATGTGCAGAAGCTTCTGAAGCAGGCCTGCCAGCTCCAGGCTGGAGATTTGGGGGTGGAGCCTGTGTGTGTGTGTGTGTGTGGAACGATGACAGGGACCTCCGTGGGGCACGGGGTCATTCAGAGCCCACCCTCCAAAGCAGCCTCGTTCTCCAGGGGAGCTGATCGCTGCACTCTGGAGATGAGCTGTAATGCCGGGGGGGGGGATCCCCAGGTCCCGCCTGGAGGCTGGCATCCCTAATCCGAAGGCGGCGTGGGGCCTGCACACGGAGGCTCACGCCCAGAATGAAACTTTGTTGGTCTTAAGGGTGCCCGACTGGACTCAAACGCTGTTCTACTCTGCTCAGCTACTCTAGTGTGTGAATTGTTCCCATCTTGGTTGAATGATATAGCACCATGTTATAGGATGGTTTTTGGGGTTAAATACTGTATTTTATTGTATGTTTTATTGTATTTTAGATTCCGGCTTTGCCGCCTGTGAACTGCCCTGAGCCTTTGGGAGGGCGGTGTAGAAATCCAACAAACAAATAAATAAACAAACAAACAAACAAACAAACAAATAAAACTGGATACAGTTAGATTGGATCTGTGGGGGGTATGCTGTACTTTTTTTGTGTGTGTTCAGTAACCCCGTCCTAATTATCAGAAAAGCACCTGTGGTGGGTTTGCCCTTCTATGTTTGCTCAGTTCCTCATCTGTTGTTGGAGAATGACAACCTTTGCCTTCCCAGAGCGCACTTCACATGCATCTGATATGGGGCGATGGTCCTTTCTTAACACGCCCAGGGAAACGCTGATCGCCACTTTGGGGTCAGGAAGCCATTTTTCTCCAGGCCAGTTTGGCCGGAGATCCTGGAGGGTTTTTTTTTTTCTTTTTTGCCACCTCCTGGCCATGGAGCAGGGGGTCCCTGGGGGTGTGGAGGGGGGAGGTAGTTGTGAATTTCCCGCAATGTGTGGGGGGTTGGATCCTAGATGACCCTGGAGGTCCCTTCTGTTGGGACCCACAGTCAAACAACAGAGCACACACTTCTTTGAAGGTTATACTTTATTGCTAGTACTATGGTCGCAGAAACATAAGCACTGTTAGGAATAACTACTACACAGAAAGAGGAGAGTGATATAGGGTACTCAAACGTACCCCTCCACACACACCACCTATGGGCCAATTGGCCTCACTCCTGCGGGCAGGAAGGAGGACCAAGGCAGTTAGAGCTGAGGCTGGGAAACGAAACTAGTCACACAATTAATCGATGGGAAGACCCTACACAGGCCGGCTAACGAGGGGGAGAAGCGAAAAGAAAGGAATGCGGCAGCAACTGGCACACAGGTCATGAAAGCGAACCCGGGCTTTCATAACCCTAACCCGAGCCCATAAACCCTATGGCGGCATAGCTGACACCTTCCCACTCTATGATTCTATGAAAGAGCCAACTTTCACCTCAGCAAGGTGGCTTTATACATCTGATTTGACTTGTTGTACATAGCCATTCATATTCTCCCCGTATCCCTTTTTCCTTCTGAATCCCACCCTTTTAAACAGAAATAATAAAAAAATCAATCAAAACACAAAAAAGCAAGGCAGCTTTAGACACGCCACCCTCTCTCATATTCCGCACAAGACGACTTCCACATGAGGTAAGTTGGAAGGAAATACCGTGACGGGCTCCACCCCCCCCCCCCCCCCCCCCCCAGAGTACTACGATTTTCCTGTTCCGAGTCGTCCGGATCCACTCTGCCGTGACATCTGTCACTCTACTACTTAAGAAAATATCTCTCTCTTGCCTTGGAACAGCTTTCTAGGCCCCTGATTTGTCCCAAATAAGCAGCAGTCTGTTTGCTGGAGCTGAAATACCTGAAGCACCATGTTTACTTTGCTAAGGACTATTAAATGCAAAGTGTACAAGCAAGACAATTAGGGAAAAAACCATTTCCTGCTATTGCGCAAGGACTTCGATGAGCCCTGCTCTCGGCCACAAGGACAGGATTCTGTCACATATATTTCCCATGCAAACTGAGTAAACAGCATTTTTATTTTCAATTGGAGGACAAACACTTTTACCTTTTAAAGGACATTTTAAGTACCTTAACTCATTGCAAAACTCCCTAAGCATAAAACAGAATTATGGAAGAACTGAGTATTGACCTCAACTAGAGTACTGTGTTCAGTTTTGGGCACCACAATTTAAGAAGGCTATAGAGAAGCTGGACCGTGTCCAGAGGAGGGCAATGAAGATGGTGAAGGGTCTGGAGACCAAGTCCTATGAGGGAAGGCTGAAGGAGCTGGGTGTGTTTAGCCTGGAGAGGAGACGACTGAGAGGGGATATGATCACCATCTCCAAGTACTTGAAGGGCTGTCATACAGAGGATGGTGTGGAGTTGTTTTCTGTTGCCCCAGAACCAAAGGTTTGAAATTAAATCAGAAGAGTTTTCCGCTAAACATTAGGAAGAACTTCCTGACAGTTAGAGC